CCCCTGTGTTCCCACCACAGCGTCTCCCCAGCCCTGCCGTCCTGCTGCACGCAGGCCCACCCCGGGAACGCCTAACGAGGCTTGGCGAGAGAAAGCGGTGGGGTTCGCAAAAAGCCCCTGAGGAGCCGTTGCGTGGCAGAAAATAAGCGCATTTTGGCCTTTAAAAGCACAACTGTCTCCACGTTTTTCAAATAGCCAGCGTTTTCAACAAAAGAACAGTTGCTCCCTCCTCCAAAAAGTACCTGAGATGAAAAATATTTGCTCCTCAGGCGCCTTCTTTACACGGATTCCTGCAAATATGGAGGCTGGGAGCATCTAAAGCTCAGTCCCGTAAAGAGCACGTAAAAAAAAAAAAGAGAAAAGGGTGCTTTTGTTCCCACCCTCAACGCGCACCTCCCTTCCCCAGGCACCCCAGCTCAGCAGCGTGCCACGCGACGGCGCCCGGGAGTCTCGCTTACCTCTCTCCCGGGGATGAGGACACGGCAGGAGGCTGGGAAGGGTGCCAGGGGTGGGCTGGAGCAGGCTGGGGGGCTCCGGCGCTGCCGGCTGCAGAGCCCAGGACCAGCCCCGGGGCTGCTGAGGCTTAAGCCCGGGTTGAGCCGGGGGCTGATCCTGCACCCAAGGCGCAAGCTAGCCGCTTTCAAACCGGCTCCCGGGCACCGGCACCGGCCGTGCTCGCAGCGGACGCCATGCGGAGCCCAAACCACAAGCACCTTGAGATGCTGCAGGTTCCCAAATACCCAGCCCTCTGCCCTTTATAACTTCCCCAGCTGCTGCTGCTTGCCCAGGTGATGGGACGAGGCCAAGGTGCTCCTCCTTAGGCTGATGGGGCACGGTCCCGTCCCGTCAGGGAGGGCTTCTCCCCTCCCGGCAGCTTTCTGCAGGGACTCATTTTGGGTTTGGGGGTGGTTTTTTTTGTTATTTTTCCTCCCTGTAGTGGCAGATTTCGTGCATTATCCAGGAAAGTAAGCAGAGCAATACGTTCCACAGTGTAAATATCGAAATGCTGTTTATATCAATCAGAGAAGCACTTAGGTAGAGATGACAATGGAGCCTGCAGAGCCCTAATCACACGCTTTGATTGAACTAAAAGTACGGGGGAAAATGGAAATCAGACGTCTAGAGCTGAGATTTCAATGGAGACGGAAAGCTGGAGCAGCAGGGCCATTTCGGGGCTGCTCCCGGCTCGGGGAGCCGCAGGGGCAGGCTCTACATCCGATTTCCAGGAG